GGGGGAGCGTCGCTCCAGGAGCCGGTGGGTTCTGGGCCGGGCGGCTGAGGCTGCCAAGGCGGGAGAGGAGCGGCGCTCTAAGGCCCCCAGGCCGGAGAGACAGAGGGTCCCGGCGGGAGGGGCTGGCACAGAGGGGTGGCCGCCGCGGGAGGCGCCTACCAGAAGGAGAGGGTGTAGTCTCCCACGAAGGTCTCGCTCTCCCGCACCAGGAAGGTGCCGTCCTTCCCGCCCGTCTCGGTGCAGTACTCGTGCAGCAGCTTCTCGGCGATCTGGCGCCCGTCGCGGCCCCCGCCCAGCTTCCCGTGAAACCACTTCTCGCTGAAGTGCAGCTCGTTGTTGTTAAACTCCTGCAGGCGCAGAGCCCCGGGCGAGACGGGCGGGTGGCAGGGAGGGGAGGCGGGAGACACCAGAGAAATCCAGGGGAGAGAGACAATGGGCTTCGTGCCGTGGCTCTCCCAGGGTGCTCCATGGGCCACTGCTGGCCCGGGAGTCCCTAGTGTCTGTTTAGATCAGTGGTTCTTCCAGTGTGCTCCATGGACCACTGCTGGTCCGCGACCATCTTGCAGGTGGGCTGGGGGCTCAGGGCTCGCCCCCCCTGCCGTGGGGAGCCTGTGCTGTTGCTCCAGCCCCACGCCCCCCTCCCCGGGTTGGAGCGCCAGCGCCAGCTTCCCACTGTGGGGCTGGTGGGGACAGGAAGAGGCTCCGCGCACTAGCTCACCCACTCCCACTAGCTGGGGGACCGGCAGTGCAGGAAACTGCTCGCCTCCTACCCAGACCCTGCACCCCCAGCCTGCTCCTGCACCCTCCCTCCTACCCAGACCCTGCACCCCCAGCCTGCTCCTGCACCCTCCCTCCTACCCAGACCCTGCACCCCCAGCCTGCTCCTGCACCCTCCCTCCTACCCAGACCCTGCACCCCCAGCCTGCTCCTGCACCCTCCCTCCTACCCAGACCCTGCACCCCCAGCCTGCTCCTGCACCCTCCCTCCTACCCAGACCCTGCACCCCCAGCCTGCTCCTGCACCCTCCCTCCTACCCAGACCCTGCACCCCCAGCCTGCTCCTGCACCCTCCCTCCTACCCAGACCCTGCACCCCCAGCCTGCTCCTGCACCCTCCCTCCTACCCAGACCCTGCACCCCCAGCCTGCTCCTGCACCCTCCCTCCTACCCAGACCCTGCACCCCCAGCCTGCTCCTGCACCCTCCCTCCTACCCAGACCCTGCACCCCCAGCCTGCTCCTGCACCCTCCCTCCTACCCAGACCCTGCACCCCCAGCCTGCTCCTGCACCCTCCCTCCTACCCAGACCCTGCACCCCCAGCCTGCTCCTGCACCCTCCCTCCTACCCAGACCCTGCACCCCCAGCCTGCTCCTGCACCCTCCCTCCTACCCAGACCCTGCACCCCCAGCCTGCTCCTGCACCCTCCCTCCTACCCAGACCCTGCACCCCCAGCCTGCTCCTGCACCCTCCCTCCTACCCAGACCCTGCACCCCCAGCCTGCTCCTGCACCCTCCCTCCTACCCAGACCCTGCACCCCCAGCCTGCTCCTGCACCCTCCCTCCTACCCAGACCCTGCACCCCCAGCCTGCTCCTGCACCCTCCCTCCTACCCAGACCCTGCACCCCCAGCCTGCTCCTGCACCCTCCCTCCTACCCAGACCCTGCACCCCCAGCCTGCTCCTGCACCCTCCCTCCTACCCAGACCCTGCACCCCCAGCCTGCTCCTGCACCCTCCCTCCTACCCAGACCCTGCACCCCCAGCCTGCTCCTGCACCCTCCCTCCTACCCAGACCCTGCACCCCCAGCCTGCTCCTGCACCCTCCCTCCTACCCAGACCCTGCACCCCCAGCCTGCTCCTGCACCCTCCCTCCTACCCAGACCCTGCACCCCCAGCCTGCTCCTGCACCCTCCCTCCTACCCAGACCCTGCACCCCCAGCCTGCTCCTGCACCCTCCCTCCTACCCAGACCCTGCACCCCCAGCCTGCTCCTGCACCCTCCCTCCTACCCAGACCCTGCACCCCCAGCCTGCTCCTGCACCCTCCCTCCTACCCAGACCCTGCACCCCCAGCCTGCTCCTGCACCCTCCCTCCTACCCAGACCCTGCACCCCCAGCCTGCTCCTGCACCCTCCCTCCTACCCAGACCCTGCACCCCCAGCCTGCTCCTGCACCCTCCCTCCTACCCAGACCCTGCACCCCCAGCCTGCTCCTGCACCCTCCCTCCTACCCAGACCCTGCACCCCCAGCCTGCTCCTGCACCCTCCCTCCTACCCAGACCCTGCACCCCCAGCCTGCTCCTGCACCCTCCCTCCTACCCAGACCCTGCACCCCCAGCCTGCTCCTGCACCCTCCCTCCTACCCAGACCCTGCACCCCCAGCCTGCTCCTGCACCCTCCCTCCTACCCAGACCCTGCACCCCCAGCCTGCTCCTGCACCCTCCCTCCTACCCAGACCCTGCACCCCCAGCCTGCTCCTGCACCCTCCCTCCTACCCAGACCCTGCACCCCCAGCCTGCTCCTGCACCCTCCCTCCTACCCAGACCCTGCACCCCCAGCCTGCTCCTGCACCCTCCCTCCTACCCAGACCCTGCACCCCCAGCCTGCTCCTGCACCCTCCCTCCTACCCAGACCCTGCACCCCCAGCCTGCTCCTGCACCCTCCCTCCTACCCAGACCCTGCACCCCCAGCCTGCTCCTGCACCCTCCCTCCTACCCAGACCCTGCACCCCCAGCCTGCTCCTGCACCCTCCCTCCTACCCAGACCCTGCACCCCCAGCCTGCTCCTGCACCCTCCCTCCTACCCAGACCCTGCACCCCCAGCCTGCTCCTGCACCCTCCCTCCTACCCAGACCCTGCACCCCCAGCCTGCTCCTGCACCCTCCCTCCTACCCAGACCCTGCACCCCCAGCCTGCTCCTGCACCCTCCCTCCTACCCAGACCCTGCACCCCCAGCCTGCTCCTGCACCCTCCCTCCTACCCAGACCCTGCACCCCCAGCCTGCTCCTGCACCCTCCCTCCTACCCAGACCCTGCACCCCCAGCCTGCTCCTGCACCCTCCCTCCTACCCAGACCCTGCACCCCCAGCCTGCTCCTGCACCCTCCCTCCTACCCAGACCCTGCACCCCCAGCCTGCTCCTGCACCCTCCCTCCTACCCAGACCCTGCACCCCCAGCCTGCTCCTGCACCCTCCCTCCTACCCAGACCCTGCACCCCCAGCCTGCTCCTGCACCCTCCCTCCTACCCAGACCCTGCACCCCCAGCCTGCTCCTGCACCCTCCCTCCTACCCAGACCCTGCACCCCCAGCCTGCTCCTGCACCCTCCCTCCTACCCAGACCCTGCACCCCCAGCCTGCTCCTGCACCCTCCCTCCTACCCAGACCCTGCACCCCCAGCCTGCTCCTGCACCCTCCCTCCTACCCAGACCCTGCACCCCCAGCCTGCTCCTGCACCCTCCCTCCTACCCAGACCCTGCACCCCCAGCCTGCTCCTGCACCCTCCCTCCTACCCAGACCCTGCACCCCCAGCCTGCTCCTGCACCCTCCCTCCTACCCAGACCCTGCACCCCCAGCCTGCTCCTGCACCCTCCCTCCTACCCAGACCCTGCACCCCCAGCCTGCTCCTGCACCCTCCCTCCTACCCAGACCCTGCACCCCCAGCCTGCTCCTGCACCCTCCCTCCTACCCAGACCCTGCACCCCCAGCCTGCTCCTGCACCCTCCCTCCTACCCAGACCCTGCACCCCCAGCCTGCTCCTGCACCCTCCCTCCTACCCAGACCCTGCACCCCCAGCCTGCTCCTGCACCCTCCCTCCTACCCAGACCCTGCACCCCCAGCCTGCTCCTGCACCCTCCCTCCTACCCAGACCCTGCACCCCCAGCCTGCTCCTGCACCCTCCCTCCTACCCAGACCCTGCACCCCCAGCCTGCTCCTGCACCCTCCCTCCTACCCAGACCCTGCACCCCCAGCCTGCTCCTGCACCCTCCCTCCTACCCAGACCCTGCACCCCCAGCCTGCTCCTGCACCCTCCCTCCTACCCAGACCCTGCACCCCCAGCCTGCTCCTGCACCCTCCCTCCTACCCAGACCCTGCACCCCCAGCCTGCTCCTGCACCCTCCCTCCTACCCAGACCCTGCACCCCCAGCCTGCTCCTGCACCCTCCCTCCTACCCAGACCCTGCACCCCCAGCCTGCTCCTGCACCCTCCCTCCTACCCAGACCCTGCACCCCCAGCCTGCTCCTGCACCCTCCCTCCTACCCAGACCCTGCACCCCCAGCCTGCTCCTGCACCCTCCCTCCTACCCAGACCCTGCACCCCCAGCCTGCTCCTGCACCCTCCCTCCTACCCAGACCCTGCACCCCCAGCCTGCTCCTGCACCCTCCCTCCTACCCAGACCCTGCACCCCCAGCCTGCTCCTGCACCCTCCCTCCTACCCAGACCCTGCACCCCCAGCCTGCTCCTGCACCCTCCCTCCTACCCAGACCCTGCACCCCCAGCCTGCTCCTGCACCCTCCCTCCTACCCAGACCCTGCACCCCCAGCCTGCTCCTGCACCCTCCCTCCTACCCAGACCCTGCACCCCCAGCCTGCTCCTGCACCCTCCCTCCTACCCCGACCCTACACCCCCACCACCTCCTACACCCATTTGTCATTGTGGGTGGTTGGCTAGTGGTCTGCAGAAAGGTCTGCATGGGTCCGCGGGCCAAAAGTTTGAGAACCACTTGGTTTAGCGTCACGTCCTTGTCACTTCGGCCACCAGCGCACAACCATGCTGCCCCATGGTTCAGGACACAGACTGGAGGTTCCCATGTGCCACTGAACCTTCCTGGGGATCTAGCCAGTAAAAGTTATTGGCCTGGCTGGAATCTGAGCAGGACACTGATTAATACCCCGCCTTGTGAAAAGTACCAAGGGTTAGTTAATGGCCAGGACCAAAGAGGGGCTTGGGTAGCTCCGTAGGTGACCCCTGAAGGTCCCTGAGATGCTGCCCTCCTCCCGTCCAGACCTTTCCTCCCCACAGACACACCTCTTTTTGCTCCACCTCTTCCTCGTCCTCGTTGGACTGGTAGTGGGACGTCTCCTCGGAGTAGTAGATCTTGTTGCTTGTCAGAACAAAGTAATGGGGGCTCCAGGTCTGCCAAGGAGAAAGTGGGATCAGAACCAGGCAGCGAGGAAGCCAGGGAGCAGGCACAGGGACCAGGATGTCAGCGCCCGCTGGAGATCACAGCTGCCCTGGTAGCACGCTGGCAGGACATGTGTCATGTTCCCACTCCAGTGCGTCCACAAGTGGATACCAGCCTAGTACTGCTGCTGGAAAATGGAGTCACTCCTCTAGCTCAGGCGGTGGAGGTCTGTGATAAAGGTCCAGGGTTCAAGCCCTTCTGATGACCTCGCGTAGGGGGACGGGACGGCACCACCTCCTTCCCCGCTGCCGGAACCAAGCCGTTCCTGGTTCCACGGGTGGTCGCTAGACCCTCCCCGCTCCCCATGCTGTGCCTTACGTGGTCGATGGGGTCCTCGAGGTACAGGATGCCGTTCTTGATGGAGTTGCTGATGTCATTCTCCGAGTAACTGGCCATGGAGACTTCCTCGTACAGGTTCCCTTCCACCAGCTTCTTGTGCTAGGGAGCGGGAGAGCAAACCAGAGAGAGGCAAATGCCCACGGTTAGCCTGACCCTCGCCCGTCCTGCAAGTGCCCCGGACTATGCTCTGTCTGCCACGGTGCAGGTGTCCCATCGCTCAGCTGGGGCAGTGAAACAGCTGCTCAATTTCACTCCGGCTACGTCTACACTGGCATGATTTTCCGGAAATGCACGTCTAGATTGGCAGGATGCTTTTCCGCAAAAGCACTTATTGTGGAAAAGCGTCCGTGACCAATCTAGACGCGCTTTGCCGCAAAAAAGCCCCGATGGCCATTTTCGCGATCGGGGCTTTTTGGCGGAAAACAAATCTCTGCTGACTACACTGGCCCTTTTGCGCAAAAGTTTTTTGGAAAAAGACTTTTGCCCGAACGGGAGCAGCATCGTATTTCCGCAAAAGCACTGACAATCTTACATGAGATCGTCAGCGCTTTTGCAGAAATTCAAGCGGCCAGTGTAGACAGCTGGCAAGTTTTTCCGCAAAAGCAGATGATTTTGTGGAAAAACTTGCCAGTCTAGACACAGCCTCCCTGTTTGCCATTGGTTTCACTTCCTGGTTCTCCTGCTGTGTGGGCTCACGGGAGCTTGGGCAGAGGAGTCTGCCGTGGGAGCAAAATGACTTTAATGGCTGCGGGTGGCCGGGACTGGTTTCTTCTGGCAAAGAGATTCCCACGCACCTTTGTATCTTAGTACGTCAAGACTGCGTGGCTCCGTTGATGGAGCCATGTAGATTTGTTTGTTCGGCAAAGGGAAATGAAGCCACCATTTAAATAATCGCGGCTTCATTTAAATTTAAATGGCTGCCCCGCTCTGCCGATCAGCTGTTTGTCGGCAGATCGGGGCAGTCTGGACGCTCCCCTGCCAACATGAAAGCCCTTTATCGACCTCCCCGGTAAACCTCATCCTACGAGGCATAACGGGGAGGTCGATAAAGGGCTTTCAGGTCGGCGCGGGAGCGTCCAGATTAGCGCGCTGAGCCGACAAACAGCTGATCAGCTGTTTGTCGGCTCAGCGCGGCAGCCATGTAAATTTAAATTAAGCTGCGATTATTTAAATTGTGGCTTCATTTCCCTTTTCCGATCTGTCTAATCTACATGGCTCCATCGATGGAGCCATGTAGTTTAGACACATCCTTAATGTCGGAGGCAGAGAACATTCACTCCAGCACGTTCCTGTAACCCCGCGCTACGGGGCTCTCCCCCGTCCTAGCTACCCAGCCTTAGGCAGCCATGTGCCGTTCCAGTATCTCCCACTCTGGACTGACTCGGAGAAGGTTGGGGCGGGGGAGGGACGAGGGCACGCCCTAGGTGCCACACCTTAATGAGGATTTTCTTCTTGAGCTGGGTAGGGGAAGGCAGCTCATCGGCGTTGATGTCCACCGGCTTGGTGAGCAGCATGTCCCCGAAGACCTTCTTGAAATGGGAGGCCATGTTCCTCTGCTGGACGATGCTGCAGTGGTCCTCGATGGAGAGGATGATGGGGAACCTGGGGTAGCCGGGAAGGAAAGGCCGGGTGACTCAGAACAGCCACCGAGAAGAGGTCCCAGGTCGCACGCCTGCTCCTCTGGTAGCCGGGGGCAAAGCTAACGAGGGCGGGACCCCACAGGAGCTAACAGGAACCACAGACCCAGGGGAGAAGCTGGTGGAGCCCATAGAGTGGGGGAAGCTGGAGGCAGAACCCTCGGACACTCACTAAACCAGGATCTGACACACACAACCTAGGAGTGTCGATGCCTTGGAATGGGACTTAGCAACTAGGTCTCAGCCCGGGATAACCAGGGAACATCTGGCCACCACACCTGGTTAAACAGGTGTCACTCTGGTTTCTAGTCATTACGGGCAGGCGTTTCAGACCCTTTCCCCAACCGCTGTTGCTATTAAGCATGAGAACGCCAGATACTCTTGTTATCCACTGAAATGCCCAGTCCCCTTTTGAATGCAGCTAAGTTCTTGGCCTCGCGGGCTTCCTGCAGCCATGAGTTCCACTGTCCCTTAGCGAGCGGTCGTTAAGCTGCAAAGGGGTGACAAAGCCCAGGCGGTGCCGTGGGGTGGCCCTTACTCAGAGGTCACGAAGGCGTGCTCCTTGATGGTGTGCAGGACATCCAGGAATTTGATTTTGGAGGTGAGGGTGTGTCCGTGGTAGATGATTGGCAGGTCGTCGGGACCATCCCAACAGTCCACTAAGGGCAGAGATGGTTGAGTGGTTAACACCCTCCCCCCACGCGTGGTCACTGATCCCCCTGCCCCACACGAGTGTCGCTGTGGCACTGTGCGCACGTCGTTGGCGTGCCAGGACACGGCACTTCATGGGTGGTCCCGGGGTAGATGCCACACTGGGGCTCATGGCTCAGATGCCAGGTAATATCACAGGCTGCCATCTAAGCAGGGCCATGTGGGACTGTGTGAGTGCGGGAGGCTTTGGGTGGTTCTGCTTGTCATGGGTAGGAAGGGCAGGCAAGATCGGGTTCACCGGGGGGCTGAACCATCCAAATCTGAGGGCCCACTGAGTGGCAGATGCTGGAGCGACCGTCTAGGCTGATCTCCTGCACAGCCCAGGCCAGAGAATTCCTGCACTCGGTGGATGTGAAACGTTGGCCCAGCCGCCCCAGAGGACAACGATCCACTCATAACGTGAACGTCTCCTGTTTCCAGGGCACCGGAAGGAGCCTGATACGATTCGCCAACTAGGAATTGTGGCAGCCACCTCTGGGGTGAGACGGGGCGGCTGCCTGGCACCTCCCTGCAGCCCTACACCGACGGGTAAGACATCCCAAGCGGAGGCAATGGAAAGGGCCAACCCACCGCAGGGTGTGGCCAAGGCCCTGGGCTCAGGCCCCTACGTTTGTGCAACGTGGGAGTTGGGAACGTGGTTTTAGGGATCCTCCCAAGGATGCTGACTCCAGTGGTGACCGTGCACCCCTGCTGGCAACCCTAGGACAACTTCCTGCTGCCCCGCCCCACCCGCCATGGAGTGGCACCCGGGCTACTTGGCTCAGGCAGTCTGCGGCGCTCACAGCAGCCGCTCACTCACGCTCTATGCAGCGGCAGCCCATCCGGAGGCAGCGCGCGTAGGCTTCCAGCGAGGACTCGCTGGAGAACTGGTCCCCAGTCAGATACCTGCAACGAGAACAAGAGGGTCCCTGAATCACCAGCAGTGCCCAGAGGGCTCCAGCCTGCAGAACCGGGGGCAGGACTGGGGAGCCTGGAGGAAGAGGAGCAGCTGCAAAGGCAGCTCCCAGACCACCTCAGGGAGCAACAACTGCAGATGCTGCCCGTCCAGGCAGCGCCCGGCCACAGACCACGTCCCGGGGGGCCTGGCAGGCCACGAGCTGCTGTGAGCAGTGGCTCCTTGCTGGGCTCGTGAGCTCTGGGGTCTTCGCTGTCCCGGGGCACCGCCGTCGGGATCCCATCTAATTTCCGTGTCTGCTCTGCCACGGCCGGCTGAGCTCAGGGGCCTCATCAGAGGTCGAAAGCCGCCAGGCCAGGCTAGAGAGAAGCCCTCCCCCCATGTTCGCTATTGCACTGCAGGCCAGAGCTCTGCTAGGGCTCTCAGACCAGACTGGCAGCTCCCCACAGCTCTGCAGAACGGCTCCTAGGGCTGCCGCAGGAGGCTCCCGATTAGCTCCAACGGGTCGTGTCACTTCCTCTGCGCCCCACCGCCCGGCAGCTCTTACGTGTTGTGGGAGGAGGAGATCCAGTACTGGGAGAGCGGGTAGTTCATCTCCTCTGGGACCACCCGCTCGTACTTGGTATCCATGACCATGTTTTCCCTGGAGAACAGGTACATCAGAAACTGAGGACAGAAGGGAAGCTGGTGAGAGTGAGGCTCCAGGACCCCGTGGGTCAGCCCAGGCAAAGGGGAGCAGCAGGCATGGGGCAAAGCCCTCGCAGGAATGGGGAAAGGGGGAGAAGTCGGTGGACAAGAGCAGAGGCCAAGCCAGGGCCTGTAACTCCTGCTGGGGCTGGGCTACAGAGGCAGCCTTTGGCACGCACGCTTCCCAACGTGTCGGGGAGCCGGAGGGGTTCGCTCAGGCCTCTCTTCCGTTACAACCGGCCCGTCTGCGTCCACGCAGTGCAATTCCCCGTGGGAGTCACTGCTGCAGCCTCCCACAAGCAGCTGCCAGAGGTGGATTTGGGGGCCAAAATCTGCAGCTGTGCCCGTTAGACGAGGATAATCAAACCCTCTTGCTTCAGGCCACAAGGAGAGCTACAAGTGCCAGGAAGGAATAGCAACCCCCAAGGTGCAGCACCGTACACTAGCCAGATGGGGAGCGTACGGCTTTCTGTGAAGCCTCGGCGCATGGTAACTGATGGAGGCTACGTCAGCGGCCTGTAGGTCCCTGGGTCTGATCTGACACGGCCCATCCTGATCTCCAGGCTGAGGGGCACACTGTCTGTTATAAAGGCACCTACAGCCGTGCGCGCCACACGTCACAAGCCCTGTAACTACTCGAGAGACGTCACCTGCCCCAGCTGGGAGTCTGAGCTCAGCTGGCGGGTGCTGAGATGGCAAAGGGGTTGGCTGGGATCAGGGGGGATGGGGTACCGGTTCCTCTACCTCATCCAGCTGGAAGAAGGGCTCTGCCATGTCACTGAAGGGGTCCCTGAGGTAGCTGCACATGTACTCCCGCACCTTGCCGATGTCACTGGCCCAGGGCTCCTAAGTCAAGACCACAGAGGGCAATGTTAGGGGAGGAGCTGCCCTGAGGGTTTGGATGTGAACCACCACAGGCGGGAACCCGAAGACTCCAGCCTCAGATCTGCAAGATGAAGAACCTCCTGACAGAGAGAACGTGGCTGGACTCAGGGCTCAAGAGACTCATGACCTTCAGCTCGCCACAGGGCAGGTATGGCACATAATCCCCACCACCACCACTGTGCCTCCACCCTGCTGTGCAGGGAACAGAGGGGAGTCCGGTGTTGAAGGCCAGCAGCACTGGCGTGTTGAGCTGGCGAGTCCCACCTTATTGTAATTATTCTCTTGACTAGATTTAAGATCCATGCAAGCCTTGGTAGGGATTTGCTCCTCGTTCTTAAAATGGTTTCATCTGAATTTTCTGTCAGAGATCGACAGGCCACGAGGCCAGGTCTGACCTTCCCTATCACGCAAGTCACAGAATCTCCTCCAGGCATGCACCAAGCCCATCACTTCTGACTGAGCAGGAGCAGGTCTTCTAGAACGACCTGCGATCGGGAGTGAGAGACCCCAAACCGCAGAGTCACCACATTTAAAGGCAGAAGGGACCACGCGATCACCCAGTCTGCCCGGGCCTGTGATGGATTCTCCATTGCAGCCCTGCATGAGTTGTTCTGATGGGGAATCTCTAGGGCTATCAACGGATTCAAAAAATTAATCACACAATTAACCACACTGTTAAACAATAACAGAATACCATTTATTTCAATATTTTGGATGTTTTCCACATTTTCAGCTATATGATTTCAGTTACAACACAGTCTACAAAATGTAGTGCTTGTTTTCTATTTGTTTTTATTACAAGTATTTGCACTGTAAAAAACAAAATAGTATTTTTCACTTCACCTCATACGAGTACTACAGTGCAACCTCTTTATCATCAAAGTTGAACTTGCAAATGTAGATTTACATACAAAAAGAACTGCATTAGAAAACAAACGAATGTAAAACTTCAGCACTTCCAAGTCCACTCAGTCCTACTTCTTGTTCAGCCAATGGCTCAGACAAAGTTGGGTTACAATTTGTAGGAGATAACTGTGCCTGCTTCTTGTTTAAAATGTCACCCGAAAGTCAGAACACACGTTTGTATGGCACTGTTGTAGCTAGCATCTTATTTTGGTACCTTCTTTGTGTTTTGTCAGATCTGCAGTGAAAATGTTGTCTGGGTTGATAGCTGAGAGTGCCTTAATACATGGCAGCATGTGAGTAAAACAGAGCAGAAGACGTACAATTCTGCCCCAAGAAGTTCCACCACAAATACAATTAACGCAGGTTTTTAATGAGCATCATCAGAAGGGAAGCGTGTCCTCCGGAATGGTGGCCAGAACATGAAGGGGCATACGAATGACTATCACATCTGTCATTAAATACCTTGCAGTACTAGCTACAACAGTGACACGTGAACGCCGGTTCTCACTTTCAGGAGCCATTGTAAATAAGAAGGAGGCAGCATTATCACCCATAAATGTAAGCGAACTTGTTCGTCTGAGCGATTGGCTGCACAAGGAGCACAACTGAGGGGTCTTGTAGGCACTGAAGTTTGACACTGTTTTGTTTCTGAATGCAGTTGAGGCACCAAAAAAAAAATCTGCATTTGTAATTTGCACTTTCACGATAAAGGGATCGCGCTACAGTACTTGTCTGAGGTGAACTGAAATGCTGTCTTTTATCATGTTTACAGTGCAAATATTTGCAATAAAATACTGATATAAAGTGAGCACTGTACACTTTGTAGTCTGCTGTGTTAGTCTGTATGCAAAAAAACCCCAAGGAGCCCTGTGGCACCTTAATACTAACAAATGTATATGGGCATAAGCTTGTGGGGGTAAAAATCACGTCAGCAGATGCTGACGTGGATTTTACCCATGAAAGCTTATGCTCAAATAAATCTGTTAGTCTTTAAGGTGCCCCTGGCTCCTTTTCGATTTTGTATTCTGTGTTATAATTGAAATCAGCATCCTTGAAAATGTGGAGAAGCTTCCCAAAAGGTTGAACACATTTCAATTGGTACTCAACAGTGGTTCAATTGGTTCAACAGTGTGATTAAAATGCAATTAATTTTTTAAATAACAATTACTTTTGGAGTTAATCACACAAGTTAACTGCAATTAATCGTCGGCCCTATTAATCTGCTGTTAAAAACATGCCTCTTCTTTCCAGCCTGAGTTTGTCTGGTTTTGGCTTCCCCCACCCATCATCACATTCGCTCTGTCCACGGCTGGAATATGGGCAGCGGCACACACGGCCCTTCCTGAGACAGCAGGGCCTCTCTGCTAATACTGCCCCCAGAGGATGCCCACTTGGAGGGCAGTGGGTCTCATGGTGTATCAGGAAGCCCTTGGAGGATCATGACTTTAGGTTACCAGAGGCTGGGGCTGGCTTTGGGTAGCCAGAAGCAATCTGATTTCCGAAGAGCGGCGCTATGCCGGGGAATGGGACGTGAGCCGTAGCCGATACCTTCTGGTCGTACTGCAGAAACTTCTGGAAGTCGTACAGTGTAATTTGGCACAGCTCTGCCCGGTCGACGTTCCTGGGGAGGCGCAGGGAGCCAGTCAGCAGCAGCATGTGGAAGGCAGGGAGCCAGCCTCCCCCCACCAAAAGGAAATTGAGCTCTGCCACTGCCCCTCACTTCTAACCCAGCCCCCCGGCTACCCCAGCCCTGGGCTCTGCCCCCCACAGCTCTGCCGCTACCCTTCACTTCTAACCCAGCCCCCCGGCTACCCCAGCCCTGGGCTCCGCCCCCCACAGCTCTGCCACTGCCCCTCAGTTCTAACCCAGCCCCCCGGCTACCCCAGCCCTGGGCTCCGCCCCCCACAGCTCTGCCACTGCCCCTCACTTCTAACCCAGCCCCCGGGCTACCCCAGCCCTGGGCTCTGCCCCCCACAGCTCTGCCGCTACCCTTCACTTCTAACCCAGCCCCCGGGCTACCCCAGCCCTGGGCTCTGCCCCCCACAGCTCTGCCGCTACCCTTCACTTCTAACCCAGCCCCCGGGCTACCCCAGCCCTGGGCTCTGCCCCCCACAGCTCTGCCGCTACCCTTCACTTCTAACCCAGCCCCCGGGCTACCCCAGCCCTGGGCTCTGCCCCCCACAGCTCTGCCGCTACCCTTCACTTCTAACCCAGCCCCCGGGCTACCCCAGCCCTGGGCTCTGCCCCCCACAGCTCTGCCGCTACCCTTCACTTCTAACCCAGCCCCCGGGCTACCCCAGCCCTGGGCTCTGCCCCCCACAGCTCTGCCGCTACCCTTCACTTCTAACCCAGCCCCCGGGCTACCCCAGCCCTGGGCTCTGCCCCCCACAGCTCTGCCGCTACCCTTCACTTCTAACCCAGCCCCCGGGCTACCCCAGCCCTGGGCTCTGCCCCCCACAGCTCTGCCGCTACCCTTCACTTCTAACCCAGCCCCCGGGCTACCCCAGCCCTGGGCTCTGCCCCCCACAGCTCTGCCGCTACCCTTCACTTCTAACCCAGCCCCCGGGCTACCCCAGCCCTGGGCTCTGCCCCCCACAGCTCTGCCGCTACCCTTCACTTCTAACCCAGCCCCCGGGCTACCCCAGCCCTGGGCTCTGCCCCCCACAGCTCTGCCACTGCCCCTCATTTCTAACCCAGCCCTGGGGTTCCTCTGGGTTTACGTGCCTGTGTCTGGGGAGCGAACCGGGTGCTGCTGGGGGACGGGGGGTGGTGGGGGTGGTGGAAGACAGGGCTGGACTTGTGAAGAGACCCCTGTGCTCTGACCTGGCGCACACGCATGCACACACACTGTGAGCCGGGCTCTGACCTGGCGCACACGCATGCACACACGCTGTGAGCCGGGCTCTGACAAGGAGGGCTCCTTGGTACTCACCGCAAGGAGAAGGAGAGTTCCAGCTGTTCAATTATCTGCAATGCAAAGGGACACGGGGGCAGGTTAGCTGGCCGAGAAGTGTCCCGTGCAAGCTGGATGGGGACTGGAGCAGGAGGCGGAGTTTGTCTAGAGTCTGGGTCAGTACGTCTCAGGGCCTGAGATGGGCGGCTGAATGGCCCTGGGTCTCTGACTCCCTCTAGGGTCTTCCCCATCTCCCGTCCCTACCCCAAAGCCCCCACAAAGCCCGTTCTCTGGGGCTCTCTCTTCTTCATGCCACGGAAATTCAAGGTGCTGCAGAAATGCCCATTACTAGTGACGGGCAGCAGCGTGACCTCTCTGGCCCTTCTTAGCCACCCCGGACTCTCCCCCCGCCACATGGTCACCCAGGGCCTGGCCACCCGAAGGCCCCGACTCCATACCGATTTCTGAGCTTCGAACATCAGGTTTTTGTAGAAGTGAGTGAAGTGGGTGAAGGCCATGTCGCTCCTGGCTTCCACTTCCTGTCGGGACAGAGACAGAACCTTGTGAGGGGGACTGGGGGGAACAGAGACTCCCAGGGCTGGAGGATCTCGGGAGACATCAAGCACCTGGGGCAGAAGATGGGGGGAAAGGCCCCCTGGAGACAGCGAGGCATCGGATTGCCTTGAGTCAAGCCCATAGGCCATGTGGAGCCTGGGGCGTCACAGTCCTGACAAGCAGGGCCCCATTCTGAGCCAATGTCCCAGATGGGCTGGCTGGGTTATTTCCAGGGGAAGTTGGGACCATGGGTGGCGGGAGAAGGCAGCGGAAGCCCCGCCCCTTCTGCCCAAAGCCACACCCCTCGTCCTGAGATCATACCTCTTGACAATCTTGCCCCGCCCACCAAGCCCCGCCCAACTCCTTACACCCTACACAGGGTGAGCGGCCCAGCGAGAAGCAGATCAGAGTGTTGGGCGGGGAAGGAGCAGCAAAGGCGATTGGCCACCTCTAGGAATGGACTAAGAGCCTATTCCCTTGAAAGTGTCCTTCGGAAGGGCAGGAGGAAGGCACAGAAAATCAAATCCCGGGCGGGAACAGAGTCTTCCACTCCTACTCCAGAGGCCTGGCCTCTAAAGGGAGGGGCAGAAAAGCAGAGGTGACGAGAGGGAGGAGACCGTGTTCTCACCACGAGCTTGTCCCGCAGGAACCTCATGTTGGGCACCCGATAGTTCACCTGGGGCAGCCAGGTCTTCAGATCCTTCACTGTGACACTGCAAGACACACAGAGCAGGAGTCAGCGTCACATGCAGGCTCTGGGCCTCCAGGCAGCCCCATGGCCTCGGGCAATTTCACTCCCGCCCTTCTCACAGATGGGTCTTCTGGGAAGCAAAAAGGCCTGTCCCTGTGAGAAAGAAAAGGGACCAAGAGCGGCAGGAACTCCAGGGCTCCAGAGCTGCCGGGTGCTCGCGGGAACCCCGTACATGATTCACCCAACTTGTGTCTCCCCCAGGGACCTGAACTCTGGGTTCACTGAGCAGTGAGACATGGGGCTGGCCCCCAGGCTGAGGTTGCATGCAGGTAGCTCCTAAGTCGGAATCACTAGTGTGGACACACTAAGGTGTTTTGCAAGGCTGCAATCCATGTCGCTTAGCCTGGCTGCCATGGAACAGGGTTTGCTTCTGAGCTTCTGACCACGTGCAGAGCAAACACAGAATCATAGAACATAGGACTGGAAGGGACCTCAAGAGGTCATCTCACAGCAGGACCCAGGACCGTCTTGACCGTCCTTGACAGGTGTCTGTCTAACCTGCTCTTAAATATCTCCAGTGATAGAGATTCCACAACCACCCTAGGCAAGGAAATCATCTGTAAACACTTGGGGTATGTCTACACTACCCTCCTAGTTCGAACTAGCGGGGTAATGTAGGCATACCGCACTTGCAAATGAAGCCCGGGATTTGAATTTCCCGGGCTTCATTTGCATAAGCGGGGCTCCGCCATTTTTAAATCCCCGCTCGTTCGAACCCTGTGCCGCACGGCTACACGCGGCATGAACTAGGTAGTTCGAACTAGGCTTCCTAGTTCGAACTACCATTACTCCTCGTGAAATGGCAAATACAACTTAGATGGGGCTACTATAAGGCAGGTGCATAACTGGCTGGATAACTGTACTCAGAGAGTAGTTATTAATGGTTCACAATCCTGCTGGAAAAGTATAACAAGCAGGGTTCCACAGGGGTCTGTTTTAGGACCGGCTCTGTTCAGGATCTTCATCAACGATTTAGATATTGGCATAGAAAGTACGCTTATTAAATTTGCAGATGATACCAAGCTGGGAGGGGTTGCAAGTGCTTTGGAGGATAGGGTCATAATTCAAACTGGTCTGGACAAATTGGAGAAATGGTCTGAGGTAAACAGGATGAAGTTTAATAAAGACAAATGCAAAGTGCTCCACTTAGGACGGAACAATCCGTTTCACACACACAGAATGGGAAGCAGCTGTCTAGGAAGGAGTCCTGCAGAAAGGGATCTAGGGGTTATAGTGGACCACAAGCTGAATATGAGTCAGCAGTGTGATGCTGTTGCAAAAAAAGCAAACATGAGTCTGGGATGTATTAACAGGTGTGTTGTGAGCAAGACACGAGAAGTCATTCTTCCGCTCTACTCTGTGCTGGTTAGGCCTCAGTTGGAGTATTATGTCCAGTTCTGGGCACCACATTTCAAGAAAGATGTGGAGAAATTGGAGAGGGTCCAGAGAAGAGCATTGAGAATGATTAAAGGTCTAGAGAACATGAGCTATGAGGGAAGGCTGAAGGAATTGGGTTTGTGTTTTCAGGGATCTAAAAGGGTGTCATATGGAGGAGGGAGAAAACTTGTTCATCTTGTCCTCTGAGGCAAGAACAAGAAGCAATGGGCTTAAACTGCAGCAAGGGAGGTTTAGGTTGGACATTAGGAAAAAGTTCCTAACTGTCAGGGTGGTGAAACACTGGAATAAATTGCCCAGGGAGGTTGTGGAATCCCTTTCTCTGGAGATATTTAAGAGCAGGTTAGATCAATGTCTATCAGGGATGGTCTAAACAGTATTTGATCCTGCCATGGGAGCAGGGGACTGGACTCGATGACCTCTCGAGGTCCCTTCCAGTCCTAGTATTCTATGATTCTATGAATTGATTCCAGTGTTTAACCACCCTGACAGTTTTTCCTAACGTCCAACCTAAGCCTCCCTTGCTGCAGTTTAAGCCCATTGCTTCTTGTCCTGTCCTCAGAGGCCAGGAGAACAATTTTTCTCCCTCCTCCTTGTGATACCCTTTTAGATACCTGAAAACTGCTACCATGTCTCCTCTCAGTCTTCTCCTTTCCAAAGTAAACAAGCCCCATTATTGCAGCCTTCCCTCACAGTTCATGTTCTCCTGACCTTTTATCATTTTTGTTGCTCTTCTCTGGACTTTCTCCAATCTCTCCACATCTTTCTTGAAATGTGGTGCCCAGAACTGGATACAATACTCCAACTGAGACCTTTAGTAACATGCCCCGATCCCAAACGAACAAAGGAGAGACACAGAAAGAGGTGAAGTTCCAACTGACAGACTGGTCTGAGAAAACTGGGGGATTTCAAGGGCTTCTTTAAAAATCTGAGTCACTTTGTCTCTTCTGCCTCTGGAGGGACTGCTCAGGGTAGAAAGACACTATCTACCAGGGACAGAAAGGAGGGCAGTTCGGAAACCTGAGAGCTGAGGCCTGGAAAGAAGGTCTGGCGGACAGGTCAGCTGAGAAGACATTCAATCTCTCAGTCTGATTTTGGGCCTCACACTTGTTTTGTATAGTCCTCTTAAAAATACCCACAGCCGAATGGGCCTTGCTGTGTATTTGCTGTGAGGGCTATAGCATCGTGAGGGCTCCTCTCAGAAAGATGAACATGGGTGTGGGATGTCGGCACAAGAACCCAGCCAGCGAACCCGTAGAGATGGCGGAACTGGAGCAGGTGCAAATGGTACCTCAGGGCATTAAACTGACTAAAATCATCATTAACCCTCTGACAGCCACCAAGCTATTTGGGACTCAAACGCACAGCCCTAGTGCTTGGCTTGAATCTGCAGTTACCCAAGTCAGACAGCAGGAGGCAGCATGCTCCATCCTCTCCTGCTCCCCCCTCCCCTGGCACCTCTCCCCTCCCCCATCCCCTTCTGCACTTGCTAACCCAGTCTACAGCTGCTCAGGGTGTTCTCTGGGCTTTGAGCCAAGGCCCCGGAGCAGTTTCGTGGCATGAGCTCTGAGCTGCAGCAGAAGGGCTTTGCTGGTGTCACTATGCCGGGAAACCCTCCTAGTGGAGACCCAGCAGATACGGGCAAAAGACCAGCGGAGATTATCTCAGATTCCCTTTTTGGGGGGTGGAGGGGTAACTGTGTCCACACCCGGGCTGTCGCTGGGGCAGCTCTGTCAGGCAGGGGAGTGAGTTTTCCACAAGGCTCCCCAACAGCGCTAGGCCAGCGAACCGTTGCCGAGGAGACTGGGCCTGAGATGTCAGGAACCACGTGGCTTGATGCTGGATGGACGAGCCGAGATGTCGTGACTTGGCGTAGCCCCGGGAGGGTGGGGACCGGCCCGTGACCCAAGCGAAGGGAAGGCCAGCAGGGAATGCTCAGCCGAGTTGTGGAGTTTGGGTGCTGACACCTGCCTGAGAAGTGCTGAGGGCCGTCCCCACGCAGGGACCCCCGATGGGAGGGGTGAGCGGCCCGAGACCAGTCACTGACAGGGCGAGGGGTGGTCAGCGCCGCTTAGGATCAGACCCCAGGCTTGGCTTTAGCTGGCCTCACTGAATTTAACACGATCAGCTCTGCGGCCAGGCCCTGCTGCTGCACCAGAGCGCGGTGCTCGGGAAAGCAACACCGAGCAGCCTGGGGCGGGCGAGCGCGGGGGGGTCTCCAGCTGCGTCTCAGAGACTCAGCAGCTCACCGTCCCCGCAGCCTCCCAGGATCCCCGCCGTGCTATTAATACTGTGACCTTGTGGTGCCTGGATCACACCCTGCAACCCCCCGGGCCTACAAATCCAACCTGGTGTAGCTGTGTACGCCCCTCACTGGCGCATCGCAGGGCATCCCAGGGGGTAACACAACATGCCAAATCAGCTCAGCTCAGTGGGATTATGCCAAGTGCCTGGTGCAAGGAGACGTCCCCGGAGACTCCAGCCGGGGGGCTGTCCTTGGGGGACAGGCCAGAAGGCCTTTTTCCCCTCACTAGGTTTGTCTCAGACTGGAGCATAACGCACAGACCCCCAGGGGACACACCCATGTTTTTGTAAAGCAGATTGCGCCTTCCACATGAGTCCCATTTCCTGTCCCATCTCCCATCATTTCCTGCCCAGGCCCCCTCCTCTTCCTGGATGGAACCCCTCGTTTCCTGCCCAATGTCCTGTTTACACAGAGCGGGTACGCGGCGGGGCCAAGAGGTCATCCCCGGCGGCTGCTCCTCCTCCCGCCCTGGTATCTGCGCCTCTTTAGCTAGCTGGGCAGGAAGGGACCTAGCTTAATGCTGATTAAACAAAACATTTGAAACCGTTTTCTTGCCTCCTCCCTGCCCCCCTTCAGTGCCCCTGGGCTTCTCAAAGAGGCGCTGACTCATCTCCACCTCCTCGTTCAGTCCGGTTTGGCTCCGGATTCCTGGACAACCTGTCACAGGATGTGAGCGTCCCACTGTGTCCTGGCCCGAGTCGCAGCTCTGACCATGGGCTCCAACTCCCCCCTCCTTAAAGCCACACGCGGAGCCTGGCCAGCAAGCACCGAGCACCCAGGCATGCCAGTGGGCGCTCTGAGTGCACAAGGACTGCAGGATCAGGGCTTCCGCTGCTGATCGGGAGGCCAGCTCCTGGCCACGGAGAACAGGACTCCTGCGGCTTTTTGGCTAGCCTGGGGAGGAGCAGAAGTGGCACGGCTGTGTGGTGGGCAGGGCGTGGCTGAGACCTGGAAGTCCGTGGGAGCTGCCTGAAAGCTCAGCCAGAACTCCTGGTAAGCTGAGAGCTTGGGCAGCCACCCAGGAGAGATTCCAATGCTGCCCAGCTGATTAGCAGAGCCCCCACAGCCCCCCACAACATGTGTTTTTATTGGTGGTGCACATGTGCACTTGCCTAGTGCACATAAAATTTATTCTGCACACGGATGGAAAAGTTTAGAGCAGGGTTTCCCAACCTATGGGTCGGGACGCAAATATGGGTCACCAAGTGTTTCCCCAGGTGGCTCTGCCCTCCCTCCTCCCCCCGTTTTTGGATTGCCTTCGGTCACCAAGTCTTCCTGATTTGTCAAAATGGGTCCCCATCTGGATTGGGAATCGCTGGGTTAGAGGGAATGCTACCCCCATCCTGTGCATGTCGCCCTCTGGTGGCTGTCGCAGGAAGTGTGGACGCGCCGAGCGAGGGGCGGGACGACTTTGTCAGGATGAAAACCCCGAGGGATGTCCCCCTCCATCCGCCTCACTCACCTGCCCTCTCTGGTCCTGTCCATCAAGTCAAACTGTTTCCGCAGCCACCTGCAGGAGGAATGAGAAGACGCAGATCAGCTGGGAGCGCAGTGCAGTTAACGCACCCGCTGAGGTCTTGGCCTCTTCCGAAGGGGATTCCACCTCTGGGAGGTGTCTCCTCCCCTCCTCAGCACCCCGGCCAGCTCGGGGGCCCCCAGACGATCAGTGCTCTCCAGGAGTCCTGGGTGCCCCCAAACAGGGATGAAGGAAAACCAAACGAAAGGCCCTGCCTGCCGCTGGCTTCCCCGCCCCACCTCACTCTGCAGGGGCAGGGGTGGCCGGGGGCTCCCGCCCCACCCGGCTCCGCTCTGGAGTGATGAGGCAGAGGGACCCCAGCCTCCCAAGGGCCCCAGTACCTTTCGGTCTGCAGCGGCGTCTGGGCTTTCTGCGTGTCTGTCACCAGCCAGTTCAGGCCCATCATCCACAGGTTGACGTCGTCCTCACAGAAGGCTGAAGAGAGGAGAGGGGCTACGGGAAACCGCCTTTCTGTGCGTACCTTAGCGAGGGGGCGGGGGTGCTCCAGGGCCGACCTCTCCCACAGCTCTGGGGTCTGGGAGGGAGGGGGTCTGGCTGCTCAGGGGCTGCCCTCTCCCCACAGCTGTGGGGTCTGGGAGGGGGTCTGGCTCCGGGTGGCGCTTACCTCAGATGGCTCCTGGGAAGCGATGGGTATCCGGGCCAATGGGAGCTGCAGAGCTAGCGCTGGGGAAGGGCAGTTTCAGCGCCCGGGTGGCAGCCCCTATGCCTAAGAGCTGGAGGCGTATGCTGGCTGCTTCCCAGGAGCTGCGCGGAGCTGGGTAGAAAACCTGCCAGTTCCACCCCAACCAGACTTTTGTCAGCAGTGCTGACCGGAGTCACCAGGGACTCCGTATGCCGGTCGAAAACTGGGCACCTGGAAACCCTACCTCTCCCTTAGGGCAGGAAATAGCTTTAGGGCAGGCGGGGCAGCTGGGGAGGCCGCCTCACGCCCCTGGGAAGAAATGGAGGATGGAAAACCCCCCAAATTAGACTTTCCCCACCCATTGCCACCCGGCACTGACCAGCCACGCTAACTGTCCGCACAAGACGATGAAACACATGGCGGAGTCCAGTTTCCGAGCGTCTTCTGGGTAGCGTTCAAAATCCCGCGAATTCTTCCCTGGGCGGATCTCTTTTATCTCGCGAATGTCAACTAGAGAAGAAAGAGAAGGCCCCGTGACCCTTTCCCCAAAGTCTGTCTTCCACACCCTCAGCCCCAGCCGCTGTCTGGCAGTGTCGGGATTAAGCACGGCCTCGTCACGTAAAACTCGTATGTGGGTCCTGCAGTTGAGCAGGCCTGGGATGGAAGTTTCCATCCCTGCTGTACCCAGCTAAGCATAGCCAGGGACCCTGCAAGCCCAAACTGCAGCTGGGCTTTATCAGCTTTAAGCCATGCCTTGAGCTGGGAAACTACTGCGCAGTAAACAAGTTTGACCTCGGTCTCAGCTCTTTCTGAAAGTGATAAGAATGGCGTTGAGCCAGGTACGTGCACAGCCGGTAAACAACTTAGTAGAAGATCGCTGGGAGTCCCGCCCTTCTGGGAGTCTCTCCAGGCACCTAGACCTCGGAAGGTGCCCTGGGTCCCCCAGCTGGAGCCACGTCCACTGCTGCCGGGTGCGAGGTGGCCAGAACAGGGGCGGGCCGCTCACGTGCCAGGTGTCCGGGGGCGGGGCCACTCATATGCTGATGCCAACAGGCTGGCCTCAGTCTGAGAGGGAGGGTGTAGTAAAGACTGGGACCCAGGCAGAGAGGGAAACTGAGGCAAAGGAACCCCCAGGTAGAAGAGGGAACCGACCTGGGAGTTGAGAGGGCTACAACAGGGACCCAGCCGGAAAGGGAACTCACCTGGGAGCCAAGAGGGCCATAGAGGGAACTCATCCAGAAGCCAAGAGGGCTATGGTGGGGGCCCAAGCTTTTAAGGAGGGAAACCACACAGAAGCTGAGAGGGCTACCGTGGGAACACAGACTTTTAAAGAAGAGGTCAACCCGGGAGCCAAGAGGGCTACAGTGGGGACCCAGATGGAAAGGGGAGTCCACCCAGGAGCTGGAAGGGCCACAGCAGAGACCCAAACAGGGACTAGGGCTCAGCAGGAGATTGGAGGGATGTGACAGAATCCAGGTCCAGCCGACAGTGGGAACACAGGTGAAAGTAAACAGTGGGCCGATTAGCAAAGAAGCCCGGATGGATCCACCCCAGCAGGAGGAGGTGAAAGAGAAAGGCCAGGGTAGGAAACAGGACCCTAGGTCAAGGCCTTGTGAGCTCCCTCCAAACACAAGATGACTTGCTGAGGCAACTGTGGGCAGTGGAAGGGGACCTCGAGGACCTCAAGTTTGAGAACCATGAATGGCCATAGGAGCTTTCTTGCACAAGAGAGCGTCTACACTGGCACGGATACTTTTGCGCAAAGTCCCACGCCAGTGTAGACACTCTCTTACTCAAATACTCTAACGCAAAAACTCTTGCGTTTAGAGTATTTGCGCTAAATCTTGCCAATGTAGACACAGCCTAAGGGTATTTGCTTTGTCATGACACAGCCAGTTTGTGTGGCAACAATTATAAAACTTGAAATTTTTGAATCTCAGTGTTTACTCTGAACTAATTATTCTCTGTCCCAGCCCCTTCTGTCTGACCCATCCTGATAATTTCCCTCATTGTGAAATATTCTATCGCTGCAAATTAAGCCAAAGCTTAAAACTTCATGGCTGTGTCTAGACTGGCCAGTTTTTCCGGGAAAATCAGCCGCTTTTCTGGAAAAACTTGCCAGCTGTCTACATTGGCCGCTTGAATTTCTGCAAAAGCACTGACTTCCTACTGTAAGAAATCAGTGCTTTTTGCGGAAATACTATGCTGCTCCCATTCGGGCAAAAGTCCCTTTTGCGCAAAACTTTTGCTCAAAAGGGCCTGTGTAGTCAGCTGAAATTTGTTTTCCTCCCATCCAGAACACACCATACGATCCATCGTCTATAGCCAAGCCCTTCAATACAACCGCATCTGCTCTAATCCCGCTGACAGAGACCAGAAGCTTCAGGATCTCTACCAAGCATTTATAAACCTCAACTACCCACCCGGAGAAATAAAAAAGCAAATTGAAAGAGCCAGATGAATACCTAGAAACCATCTACTTCAAGACAGACCCAAGAAAACCAACAATAGAACACCACTTGTCATCACCTACAACCCCCAACTTAAACCTGTCCAACACATTATCAATAAACTACAGCCTATATTGGAACAGGATACCATACTCAAAGAGGCTCTGGGAGACAGACCCATAGTCTCCTATAGACAACCACCTAACCACAAGATGATTCTTACCAACCACCACAGGACATACCACACTAATACCAACCCTGGTACCTTCCCTTGCAACAAACCCCGTTGCCAGCTTTGTCCACATATTCATTCTGCTGATACCATTATTGGACCTAACCAAGTGAGTTATAAGATCAAGAACACATATTCCTGCGCATCCAGAAATATAATCTATGCTATCATGTGCCGAAAGTGTCCGTCTGCTATGTACATTGGACAAACATCTCAGACACTTCGCCAAAGGATTAATGCCCACAAAACAGATATCAGACAAGATCACAAAGAGAAAACAGTTTCTTGCCACTTTAACCAGAAAGGACACTCTCTAAATGACTTAGCCACCTGCATTCTGCTACAAAGACCTTTTACTTACATCTGCACTTGAAAGGGAATCCTCTGAACTGTCATTCATGTTAAAATTCGACACTTACCAACAAGGACTTAACAAGTCTTTGAACTTTCTCACCCATTACCAAGACAGTTTCCCCAATTATCACCTGTAATACCATTAACTCACAAACATCCCACTCTCCCTACCTTTAATATCAGCAATTCACAGACACTTACCTTCCTTCCTCCCCCTTCCCACCCCCCCGCATCCTCCTTCTGTTCTGCAATGTGATTTGTCCTTTTCATATTTGTTCATTTTTTTAAATTGTATCCTTTGGTATATATGGTTGTGACTACTTTCTTCCACTATTTGATCTGAGGAAGTGGGTCTGGCCCACGAAAGCTCATCATCTAATAAACCATCTTGTTAGTCTTTAAAGTGCTACATTGTCCTGCATTTTGCTTCAACTACCCCAGACTAACACGGCTACATTTCTATCACTATTCTACATGCAAGGCACTACATTGCGGAGTCTCGGTCACATCTACCCTTCCCCACCTCTAATATCATTAACTCACAGGCATTTACCTTCCTCCCCCCCCGCATCCGCCTTCTGTTCTGAAATTTGATTTGTCCTTTTCATATGTGTTCATTTTTTTTAATTGTATCCTTTGGTATATATGGTTGTGACTATTTTCTTCCACTATTTGATCTGAGGAAGTGGGTCTGGCCCACGAAAGCTCATCATCTAATAAACCATCTTGTTAGTCTTTAAAGTGCTACACAGTCCTGTTTTTTGCTTCAGCTACCCCAGACTAACACGGCTACATTTCTATTACTGTGCCAATCTAGACGCTCTTTTCTGCAAATGCTTTTAACGGAAAACATTTCCGGAAAATCATGCCAGTCTAGACACTGCCCATGATTGTGGGCTACTGTGAACATTTAAACTGATAAGCACTTTTTAAAAGGCTTCAGAATGAACATTATCCACCCAGACTGTATATTACAACCGAGCTTTGCTAAGCCCATGTATCATAAATCCCTAGGTAGCCAAAGAACAGAGCAGAGGCGCAGAAGCGCAGAAGCAAACCTCCCATAACAAGCCAGGAGGAGAACGGCTCGTGTTTGCAATGCGGCTGTAATTCAAAGACTAAGAGGTTCCTTGAAAGAGCGCTAGGCCAAGGCCAGTAACTCTACTGAGGCCGGGGGAGATTTGCCTGAGTAAAAGCTGAGGCGGGATTCACTCCTGGGCAGGAACCCAGAACAAAGCCTAGTTTAGTCTTGCCACAACCCTCCTCGGCACGTCGCAGACACAGGCTGTGATCACCTGGGCAGAGCGCCAGGCTGGCTTCTGGGAACCCAAGATGCCTCTGCCACAGGTACAGTGACCTGCTAACCCCACCCCCGCCCTGCCAAACAGCCTGGGGGTGGGAAGACACCAGGCGAGGGGCAGGAGCCAGGGGGACAGGCTCATGGGGACACTGAGCAATGGGGGGGGGGACACTGCACAGGGGACTGGTGGGGCAGGAGTCGCAGAGAGCTGATCCCTTCCTGCCCGGCACCTTGGCTCACCATTCGCACCTGGGCTGAGTGGGGGTCAAATGCTACTGATCCTACAGGCACACATGCTGCCTGGTGTCAATGACCCAGGGTGTGTGGGGCAGAGGGGACTGGAGCCCAGGACCAGGGTGGGGACACAGGAGGGAGGGAACTGGGTCTGGGGGCATTGGACAGCTCTGGTCATAGTTCTGTGTCTCTGATCCCTGATGAACCAAGTGCCCCGGGAGGCTGGTAAGGGGACCCCGTGCCAGGGGATAGGACGAAGGAGGCTGAAAGGAGAATCCCTCTGCCAGAGGAACTGGATGGAGGAGGTGCTCAGGGTGGGGGCACTGGGCCCCCGTGCCAGGGGGTGGGGGAAGAAGGCGGATGGGTGGGGCACTGGGCGCCCGTGCCAGGGGGCGGGGGAAGAAGGCGGATGGGTGGGGCACTGGGCCCCCGTGCCAGGGGGCGGGGGAAGAAGGCGGATGGGTGGGGCACTGGGCCCCCGTGCCAGGGGGCGGGGGAAGAAGGCGGATGGGTGGGGCACTGGGCCCCCGTGCCAGGGGGCGGGGGAAGAAGGCGGATGGGTGGGGCACTGGGCCCCCGTGCCAGGGGGCGGGGGAAGAAGGCGGATGGGTGGGGCACTGGGCCCCCGTGCCAGGGGGCGGGGGAAGAAGGCGGATGGGTGGGGCACTGGGCCCCCGTGCCAGGGGGCGGGGGAAGAAGGCGGATGGGTGGGGCACTGGGCCCCCGTGCCAGGGGGCGGGGGAAGAAGGCGGATGGGTGGGGCACTGGGCCCCCGTGCCAGGGGGCGGGGGAAGAAGGCGGATGGGTGGGGCACTGGGCCCCCGTGCCAGGGGGCGGGGGAAGAAGGCGGATGGGTGGGGCACTGGGCCCCCGTGCCAGGGGGCGGGGGAAGAAGGCGGATGGGTGGGGCACTGGGCCCCCGTGCCAGGGGGCGGGGGAA